GCAAGGAGAGGCTACTGCTTTGAATTTTCTCATCTACTGAACAAAGTCAGTTCAGTTGGCATTTTTCTTGTTTCCCCTCCAAGTTGGCATCACTGTCCTCACAGCCATACCTTGTAGTTTGCTTTTATTGCCCCTATACACCCTTCCCCCCCCATGCTTACCTTTCCTATCAGTCCAGTTTAAATATTTTCATGTACCTTGCATTTAGGCTATGGTGGAAATTGAGGATGAACTAGTGATCTCCTTTTTTGAAAAGCTGTGATTTTTCTCCCCCCTCCCCCCCTTTTTAAATGCAAGCTGGTTCTTGCTCAATTCAGTGGAAATATTCCCCTTTGCCCTTTGGTCCTTGGTGGATGGCACTGGGCTGGGACGTCATTTATGACCCCCAGGGCGGTGTATTAGTGACGGTACGTGCTCTCTCTCTTTTTGTACCAGGATGGCTCATGAAGAGTATGATGGTTTTGGGGAGTGAGTGGGCTTGTTTTTCTTCACTTGTCTTGAATTTTAGTTCCAAGCAACATCTTCTTAAAGAAGCCTCAGACTCCTCTGGAGTGGGGTTTGTGTTCAGCCTTGTGGGAAGGACAAACCCTGCCTATAATAACGGGTTTCTGCATTGCACCTCTCATGTTGTGTTCCTGTCTTGGCAAGTCTACAAGTTAAGACGGGTGGGCTTTGCCGAGTCCTATTTTTCCACCTGAGCAGACCTGTTATTCCAGCACAAGGTGATGTGGTTGCTTTTACCTCTGCTGCCTTTCTCCAGAGGAGTCACATGTGTGTGGATGTGAGCGTGCGACAGTGTGTGAGTGCATGGGGTGTGTCCAAGCTCTCCAGTCTCATCAGGCCCCAGAAAACAAAGCAGTGTGAGATCCCCATCTGAGCGATAACCCTCTGTTTGGAGATGGGTTTAATTTCACAGTTAGGGTTACTTTATTTTGCTGTTTCAGAGGAGCCCTTTCACTTGGCAGCTGTTTTCCTGGGGGGCCCTAAAGGACAACCTGCATGAATTTGACTGGAAACGTACAACAGGACTTGAGTAGGCAAAATCATTACCTAAACCTACTCTGTGCAACTGGAGAGCCTTTATCCTCTTTCTTCCAGTCTCACCCACCATTAAATGAAGTCTGAATGATCCCCACCATTTTTCAGGTCTTGGTGTAAATCTCATGTTAAGCCTAGGATGGTTTTGACATTGACTTGTTATTAGGACACAGTATTTATGCACCACGTTCAATATACAGTATTGAACTTTGCACCTCGTAACAAAAGGTTTTTGGTTTCTGGGTTGGTTTTTTTTTTGTTTTTTAAGATAAGCTGTGGGCTCCTGAGAGCCTTCCAGCCTCTTTCTAATGCAGCATTGAAGATAAATATATAATTATATCAAATGTTTATTTTCAATGTGTGTGTACATATTACAGTATTACGCAATAAATTTAATGTTTAATTCTGACTGAGGGGCTGCCTGTGTGTCAGGAAGCAAAGAAGGGGCTGCTCCAGTCTCTGTGGAAGAGCTGGGCATTGAGACCAGCCCTGAGGCTGTCTATCCCCCTCCCTTCATCCCCACATCCCTGCTGCTTCTCCTTTGCTCCCCCCTCGCAGGGAGCAGGGTGTGGGGCATTGCCTTTCCTTGTGGCACTGAGGGCCGCCAAGGCTTCTCCAGTTCCATCGCCACTTGCACATACCCGGAATAAGAACTGATGTCTTAGCAGAATGATTAAAAGATAAGATGCTTTAATTTCACTGCCCTTAACATTGACATCCATTATTTGACTGTTTACTCAGGAGTAAACAGAAAGAAAACCAAATGCACCTTTTAAGAATGACAAGTTTCTCCTCTGTCTTTAACTCTTGCAATCTTATTTTGTCCACAACTCATTCATTGCCATCATTTAAATAAACCACGATGATTTATGATCTCACAGTGTGGTAATACACAAACTAGCGTGGCTGAAATGGCCCCAGTGGGGGAGAAGCCCACCAGCCTGTGCTGCCATCCTGCAGCAGAGAGTTTGTTCTAGTGACGTGGAAACAGGTTGTCTTACACTAACAGCTTATTTATATCACAGAAAGTACAGTTTTGTACAGTACTTCATACCTTTTAAAAACAGAGTCTTGTGTTTAATGTTCTCCAGTCAACAGTCATTGATGTTGGCAGAGACAAATCATCAACGAGAACGCACAGATGTTGCTTGGATTGACTCAGAGGAGTGTGGTGGTGGGGCAAACAGCACTGCTGGCTAGTTGGGGTTAGTGGGAAGTCAGATCAGCTGGGGGAGATACAAAGACAACACTTTAGTGCTCAGGTCTTGGAGTCCTCCTCCTGTGCAGGCGTGGGAGAGGGGAGTCATGGCATCTGCAAATCCAGGACAGAAAGTTGAGCATTTGTACGTGTTGGTCCAGGACTGGAATTTTAAAATTTAAATTTACTTCTTCTCTACTATGGTCATTTGTAGCAGTTCCCTTCACAACTAGGCAGATGATTTTTTTTTTTTTCCCTGCAGGGAAAGACTTGTAAAGATCAGTTTAAAAAGAGAGAGGTCTAGGTGTGTTGTTTTTTTTTTTTTTCTTTTAATGTACAATCTCAGTTAACAGGTTTTGTTACTTTTAGCTTTCAAAGTTCAAAAATATAAACTCTCTAAAGTGCATAACTGTACTTACATTTCATATAAACTGTCTGAAATTCTAACAATATACCATGTAAACAGCAGTAACTAAGCATCAGAAAATGCTACAATCTCATCAGTTTAAAAATAAAATGGACTGT